GGGGGGCGGGGGGGGGGGGGGGGGGACGCTGCCACCTTTGCGCGGGATCCCATCCAAAAGCCCCTCGCAAGCCCACTTCCGCCTTCCCAGCCAGCAGATCGGCTTGTAGGCGCCTCTGCCAGGGATTTAAAAAAGGGGAAAGGAGGAAGGGTGGATGGGATAGCATTGATTTTAAGGGGGGGGGGGCTCTCTGGGGTTGGGTGCCCCCCTTTTCTTCCGGGTTTGCACCCAGATCTGCCACCCTCCCCTCCAGGACTGGAGGAAGCCTGGACAATCCACGATCTGCCTCCCCTCACCTCTTCCTAGCTTTTGTACATGCAACCACCCACCCCACCTTGACACTAAATTTGTTTTTGTTTTTTTAAATTAATTTCTTGTCCAAATCTAGGAATTCCAGCCTCTCCAAAAAATAATAATAATAATAGAGATAAGAGGTAGAAATTAGATGAAGAAAGATGATTGCTATGTATGAACTAAATATAAAGAGGGTTTATGATGATAAATATGTCAGTATAACCCACAGAACTACAAAGAAGCTAATGTAAAGAGGAATCTAGTTAAAATTATTCTGTGACACTATTACTATTGATATATATATCAATAGTATATTGATATACTATATATATATGAATGTTCCCTTTTGTTCTTTGCTTTTCTGTAAATGACATGCCCTGACAATACACTGTACGTATTCAAAATGTTTATGAATAAAAATATATACCAATAATAGTAATAATATACCAATAATAACAACAATATATACCAATAATAATAATAGAAGAAGAAGAAGAGGAGGAGGAGGAGGAGGAGGAGGAAGGAAAGGAAAGGAAAGGAAAGGAAAGGAAGGAAGGAAAGGAAGGAAGGAAGGAAGGAAGGAAGAGGAAATTTTTTGTGTGTGTATTCTGGTTTCTATCAGAAACCTTGTGTGTTCCATTTAATATGTCAGCAATTAACCCAGCCATCCTCCGGCATATCCTGCTGGATTTATTATTTGCACATCAGCAGAAAAAAACAAGTATCTCCAGGATGATGGTTGGGGATCTGGGCAAGACCGAATAAACTGGTTTTTCTGCTTAGCTGGAAACGGGGATGGGGGCAAAATTCCACTTTCAGCAAAAAAACGCCACTGGATTTTTTTTCCCAGACTTCCAAAACCACCTTCTGGTTCCAGGCAGAGATGCTTCAGGGCAGCCGAGCCGACTCTCGCAAACTGGGGTTGGTTGGAAGGCACAGAGACTGCAGTCTGTTGCGTGGGCTAAGCCAACCCCTCCTTCTCCAATATTGTGGGATTGTGAGTTGTGGTGATGCCGGGTCTTGTGCCAAAACAGGCTGCCTGCTTGCTTGGCAACCCAGTCACTGTCAACCTTCAGCGTAAAAGGCAGTTTTTAAATCCTGTAATGGCAAAATTGGTGCCCAACCCTTTTGCTGGCTCGATCTAACATTGTATATACTATATATGTGTGTGTATGTATAATATAAAAATAAATATAGTAAATATTATACAATAAATATATAATCAGAATATCAGAGTTGGAAGGGACCTTGGAGGTCTTCTAGTCCGACCCCCTGCCTAAGCAGGAAACCCTACACCACTTCAGACAAAGGGTTATCCAATCTCTTCTTTAAAAACTTCCAGTGTTGGAGCATTTACAACCTCTGGAGGCAAGGTGTTCCACTGATTAATATAATATTATATAGATAAGATAATATAGATATATTCCATACACACACATTTGTTTATTTATTTATTTATTTTCCATTTTTATATATGATTTTAAAACCGAGCCAGCAAAAGAGTTGGGCACCAACTTTGCTATTAGACATGAGATTTACAAACTGCCTTTTGCGCTGGTGTGTGTGTGTGTGTGTGTGTGTGTGTGTGACACTTTTCTGCACATTCAGCAAATGAAATGGAAAAAGAAAAAAAACCCAGAGCAAAGGTGGGCTGGATTCACACAACATTTTTTAAAAAAAATTGCGTTTGAAATTATAACCCATTTTGGGGGTCAGCCGGTGAAAAGAACCAAACGGGTTAGATTTGCCTAAGCACCTTAAACCAACAACCCCTAACCATGGTTCAATTTAACTATCTAACTCAAGGGTCCCCAACCGTGCTGGCTCTGTGGACCGGCAGCAGTTGTGTGTGTGTGTGTGTGTGTAATGGATGGTTTTGTGTGCTTTGCGCAAAAGTTGCTTCAACCAGTTAAATCAGGGGTTGCCTGGTGCTTGTGTGGCCCAGTCCCCCAATGGGCCATGGCCCGATATCGGTCTCTGAACCAGGAGTTCAGATCTTAGTTAAACATGTTGTGAAAACCCAGCCTAGACCAGTGAAGGTGTGACTGGACTCTCTTAATTGCTACTTCATCTACTTCTTTACTTGGCCTTCCGAGAGGGCCACTTCTACACCAGGAAATGCCGATTTATTTTTTAATCTACAGGATTTTTTTGTTTGACTAACCGTTGGAGCGTTGGAGTGTTGAAAGCATTTTCTCCTCGCTGTGTAAAAACCAAGTTGTCAAACCAGGAAGTATTAATTGCCAGTTTTTTTCTGTAAGGCTGATAAACCTGCCCTTTTATGTAAATTCAAAGTACATATAATATACAATTACAGGGAAGGAGAGATATGTGATTGAGCCTCAGTGGAGGTGGTGCCATCCGGGTGGTCCCGGATAGGCAATAAACTCAGTTTGGACCTTAGCTGGTAAGATACGATGCTGCCTTTTGTTTCCTACTTGGCATCTATGCCATTGTCTACCTGTACTGTGTAGGCAGTTTAGTGACCGTTCGAAGTTACAACACGGGAAAAAGTGATTTAGGACCCTTTTACACTGAACAACCACCATGTCAACTCATAAAATATTTCTCTGGCCTTTTTAGAGTTGCCAACAGAAAGGGAGGGGGGAGCAGTGCGGCAGCTTGCAAACCGAAACTGCATTCCATAAATGTTTTCAAAGATAGTAACTAGGTGACTGAAGTTTCTGCCGGGCTAAAATCTAATTGGAGAACATGATTGATGACTCTTGGCTATGGATGTATCCCATTGGAGGATATGAATTACGATACACCCAGAGGGGTGGGGGAAAACCAGGGTCAAGGGTGACAATGAATGATGTGTTTCAGAGTCGGCTGCACCCAGGGAGAGCCGGACATGTTAACTCCCAATATTTTTTTTGAATAATTTTGAAGTTTTGGAAGTTTGGCCCCAGACTCATGATTTAAGTGGGGGTAACCGCCGGAATCCTGACAGGTCACAGCATTCCCACGGTCACGTGATCAAAATTCAGAGGCTTGGCAACAGGCATGTACTTATGACCGTTGCAGTGTCCCAGGGTAAGGTGATCCCATTTAGCGGCCTACTGACCAGGCCAGTCAATGGGGAAGCCAGATTCACTTAACAACCACGTCACTAAGTCAACAGCTGCGATGATTTACTGAACAATTGTGGCAAGGTTTTTAAAAATGGGGCAAAAACTAACCCTAGCTGCCGTGTTTAGCAGCAGAAATTTTGAGCTCCGTTGGGGCAACCTGGATGCAAATTTAAATAATTTTTTTTTAAAAAAGGATGAAAGAAAGGGAATTATTATAAGCAGCGAAGCAGTGATAATCCTGCTTTGTCCCTTCCTAAAAGAGTTTGCGAGTGCAATGGGCATCTTTTTTTTTGCACCAATAAACCTGTTCACCTACGAAACACACTTACCACAAATGCTCTTTGCTCAAAAACACCGTCACTCTGAGCCAGCGATGTGAAATCGTAGAGTTGCCTCACCTTGGGGGTACAAAGTTGATATTGAAACAGTCCGCAGCCTTCCGGGCCAAAGGCGCAAATTCTATTTTATGTTATTTTTTTTCCTTTTCTTTCCTGACTTTTGCAAAAGTTCTCACGTTCCTCCCTTTCTTTTCAGCTCGGACGCCCCCCCTGGCAAGATGCTTTTTAAAGAGACCCTCGCCGTCGTTTTGCTGTGGGCGGTGTTCCCCGCCGATGCCAGGGAATCCCGGGGCCACGTTTCTGTTGTCCTCCTGGGCGCCACGGGGGATTTGGCTAAAAAATACCTGTGGCAAAGCTTGTTCCAGCTTTACGTTGACGAAGCGACGAACGGGCACACGTTTACTTTCTATGGGGCCGCTCAGAAGGAGCCCGAGGTGGGGCGGAAGCTGATGTTTGATCCCTTGAGAAACCTGGCCTGCTCCCCGGAGGTGCTTCCCAACAGATGCGCGGTGTTAAAGGACCAGTTCTTGAAATTGACGGAGTACCACCAGCTCAAAGGGGAAGACGACTACGCCCGTCTCAACCAGGGTATTCAAACCAGCCTGGCTCAGGAGGAACTGGTGGAAACCGGGCGCATCTTTTACCTGTCCGTGCCGCCGTTCGCCTACGCCGAAATTGCCCGGCACATTAACAGCAGCTGCAGGCCGCCTTCGGGCGCCTGGCTGCGCGTGGTGCTGGAGAAACCGTTCGGCCACAATTTGACGTCGGCGCAACAGCTGGCAGAAGAGCTCGCCGCCGTCTTCCGCGAAGAGGAGATTTACCGGGTGGATCATTACCTGGGGAAGCAGGTGGGGAGAATCTTAACGGGGGTTTGAATTATCCACCCACAACGTCTGGGGGTTTGAATTATCCACCCACAACGTCTGGGTGGAAGAGAGGCGGTTTGATCCTGGCTTGATTGGCAGGGGAACAACAGCGGGGGTGTTGTCACTTTTTGAGAGGGGCGACTCTAGACATGGCGTTGGAGTTCGGCACCGGTCATTCCCCAACCTTGTTAGGGTGGTTTAGATTTATTTATTTATTTATTTATTTGGACAATTTAGATTGCCGCCTGCTCGCTCAAGGTGGCTTAGAGGAAATAAAAAGACAATATAAAAGAAATAAAATAACCATCTTCTTTTAACGAGCCCATAATCCCTTGTGGGGTGGAATCTCGGCAACTGAATGGAGCTAGCAGAGTATTTACTGGCCAGATGCTCTTCCTGTTGCCAGGGCTGAGCTTTTGTTCGGCAAATATATTTTCAGTGTGCCCAGAGAAAGAAATATCCGCCTCTACCTAGGATGGAACTCACAGCCTCCTGATTGTGAGGACAGAGCTGGGTGAGCTGGGTAGCAAGAGAAGGTCCTTTAGATCGCCTGGTCCTAAGCCATGAAGGGCTTTAAAGGTGACAACCAGCGCCTTGAATTGCGCCCGGAAGCAAATC